TCATATGGATTCAATTGATATCATTCAAAATAAAGTTTAATTAAATATCACTCTATATTAATAAATTTACAAAAAAATGTTCTACAATGTTTTAAATCACCAATGTTTATCGGCCACAAACCGTTAGCTGTGACTGTTCCTGAGGGTAGTTTTGTATAGCTAAACCTGAAATCACTATAGCACATAAACACTGGACACTAGACACATATGAGGATTACAAGAATCGTTATGTAATAAGTATTTCGTAATTTTACGCAAAAGCTAAAAAAAATATGTTCTCTTTCATCGAAATATTTTTTGTATATATATATATATATGTTAACATATTTATACATATGTATATTTTTATATCGTATGTTTACTTGTTATCTTACCTCTAGTTTAACTAAGTTGTCATTTACAAAATTTTAGACTACGTTAGATAGCTTTAACACTAGATTTATTCTAGCACAGTAATATAGTATGCAACAGAATTACTACCACTATCTACTCGATTAAAGATAACATGATATTTTGTATCGCCATCAATTGAGACTTCTAATAAATAGAAGTCAAAGGCAGGTCAAACTGTATATTTACGAGGGTCAGGTTTCTATATAAATTGGAGCTCATCAAGTCTTGTACAAAGGCGTGTTTGTATACGCGGACGGATCAGAGAAATGTTCGTCCCTATTCATTTTGCCCACAAAGTTTTGTTTCTCTTCTTATAACTTGTCAGTTGATAGATATTTATTAGGGACGGACGAAAATTCGTTTCGCATTCGATTTAATTACTAATTCGAAAGTTTAAAATAAACTTCAAGGAAGCATTGTTACTAATATAAAGATATTTGTATAATTAATTGTGTCAATTAGAAAGTTACGCTTTGTGATAAATCTTACGGATTTTGTTAGACTACCCTAGGAATTTTGAAGTAAATATACTGGAAAAAATCTTTTTACTAATCTAGATTTCAAGATGACTAAGATGAATGTAAATAGCGCACCGATCCACAGAGTTCAATTTACACTCATTCGCCCCATCCCTTATAATTTAGTGGTTACTGACTATATAACGAAAAATACAAGAGTTGATTTTTTCGTCATTATTTGAATTGTTGGTTCAATCTATACTCAGTCGCTCCATCCCTAATAAGTTTAGTTGCTAGGTATTAATATGAATAACATGTATTCTTGAATATATATCGTATCAAGGAAAGCCTATTTTGACTATATCCATTTGCTCAAGAATATCTTAGTTCTAGCTCTCACAAAATGTACCTAGTAATACGAGGGTCAAACTGAAAGTTCTTAGAAAATCAAAAACTGATTACATTAGCCAGTTATTAGTTTTATTATATCTTTTCAAAATATTGTCCATTCACGTCAATACACCGCTGCATGCGATGGAACCACTGGGAAAAGCACTTTGCCCACTCGTCCTTAGGGGTCTCTTCAATGGCATCGCGATACGCAGCCACCGCTTCTTCAGCATTCATAAACCGCTTTCCTTTAAGTTTTTCTTTAATTTTTGGAAATAAATAAAAATCACAAGGCGCGAGGTCGGGGCTATACGGCGGGTGACCCAGTAATTCAACGTTTGATGTCGCCAAATAGTCGATCGTTCGCTTGGCGGTGTGCGACGAGGCGTTGTCGTGGTGAAGGAGGATCCTACTGCGAGGTCGTTTCTCTCGAACTTTTTCCAAGACAAGTGGCAAACAATTGGTAGTGTACCATTCTGCAGAAACTGTTTTTTGATCCTCTAACATAATTGTTGCAAAATGACCTATCCTTCCAAAGAACGAGGCCACCATTTTTTTTCCCGCACTTCGATCTCTCTTCACTTTAGTTGGCAACTCCTCGAAAGGAAACACCCACTGAGCAGATTGTCTTTTGGTTTTAGGATCATAACAGTAAATCCAGCTTTCGTCACCTGTTAGTATGTCGAACACAGCATTTGAGTCACCTCCGTTAAATCTTTCAATCATTTTACGACACCAATCCACACGATGGAGTTTTTGAGCCTCAGTCAAATTATGAGGTATCCACCGGGCGCAAAGCTTCCTGACCGCTAAATGTTCGTGGAGGATTTTGTGCACTTGACTCATACCGATGCCTAAGCTTGTCCGAATCTGTTGATAGGTCACTCTTTTGTCAGTCTCTATCATACGCCGCACAACACAGATGTTATCTTCAGTCGTCGCCGTAGAAGGCCGTCCCTCACGTAAATCATCAGTGAGATTAGTGCGACCACGTTTAAACTCATTAAACCAGTTGTAAACAGTCGCACGAGATGGGGCTTCATCGTGAAAGGCCAATCGTAGTCTATCATAACTTTCTTGTTGACTTAAATGACATCGAAAGTCATAAAAAATCATTGCACGAAAATTTTCTCGTGTTAAATTCATGATGACGTGACACAGACAATTTTCAATTTGCCGCCAAATCGTAAAACAAATGACAAATGAATGAAATATATACTCAGTAATATTGGCAAAGAGTTATATTTTCAAATTTTAGAATTATTTTTTTATTATATTGTTTATAAGTGGCCAGTTCTAAGAACTTTCAGTTTGACCCTCGTATTATTAATTTATTATACAAACGAGTAAACTCTTAGCACGCTCTGTAACCAGAATATGTCATATTTCCACGATTTTGTGCTCTATTGTCAATGCATTAGAGTTTAAAATAGAATTTGTTTGCAGATTAAGGTTTTATATAATTTTTTAATGTTTTTAGACTGTTCATCATTTTAGTTACATTGATATAAAATTATAAAGATAATACTAATATAAAATATTCAAGAAAAAATATCAGATGTTTTCATATTCTAATCTCTTTCTGTTTATTTTCTAGCAAAACATTAACGTTGATAAAGAAGCAATGAAATTTAAATTAATTAACAGTAACAAGGAAGATCAATTAATTTTATAAACATTGCATTTACTTGGGGTCGTATGTTAAAAGTCAAGCACTATAGATAAACCTTTTAGCACAAACCTAGCCTATTTATCACACAACGGAGTATTGTACACTTACTAAGGAAAATGGTTTGGAAGAAACGGGTATCAAATATAAAAATCATCACCAGTTGCCCAATTACATTTCTATTTGGCATTCATAGCAGTTAACAAATGCTTTGAGGGCTATTTATATAGAGAGTGTAATAAGTGATATGTGGAATCTATCGCTTCTTTTACCAATTTTTTTTTAATATTTTGAGTAATAGTCCATTGACTTTCGTAGCCTTTTAAAAGTTTACGACTGGAATGAACTTGGCAATAGTTTTCTAATGAGCAGATCTCAAGGAATTCGGGCTATATTTTAGTTGATACGGCCGTAAAAAGTTTTTTGTGGTTTAGCTGAGTGCGAATGTTTTTGCAGACTTTTTGTAATGATGACAATTGGAATGTCAAAAGTTGATCACTTGCTTCAAAACTTTTTTATAACTAACATTATTGCATATGTCACTATATTATTCTATCACTAATATTATTGACCGTCACAAATTTGACCTTATTAAGTATATTAATAATTATTTTAATTTTTCCTGTTCTCGATACAGATAAGAGAATTATGTCGTCGTGGTCTGAGCAGTACAACTCAGTGAGAACATAAAGGTCACGAACTTTACACAATATTTTTGTTGAAACAAAGAATTTTATGACAAACCGTTGAGGTTTTCAACATTGTTGTAATATTACGCCGCGCACTTAAATTTTAATGCTTATTAGAATATTACGTATTCATTATAAGAAAATTAACGCTTACTTCAGTTATATTTTACTTAAACCTTTCATTTTTCGAGTCTCCAAACTCGTTATTGTCAATACGATATGCTCATTCAAAGTTAGAGTAAAATCATAGCGATGAATGGAAACTAAATATACCAGTAGCTATAAAAAAATGTGTCAATATTATCGTTATTTATATGTCGCGGTTGGAAGTTGGCGGAGTCTTTTCCATTTATGGATGTACAGGTCGCTGTGACCACGCCAAGTCGACTAACCATGTAAAGATATCAGAATGATCTTTACTAAACATACTTTATAGGTTACTCATTTTTGGTTAGTGTACGGCTAAATTAAATATTTATAATCTTCTGTGAACACACGATGTTTTTCGTTACAAATATGTTTATTTGAGACATTATTATACTTAGTATAAACAAAATTTTTAAATAGCAAATAACGAAATTTATTTTAAACGAATATTGATGCGATAATTTTATTTTTGAAAATTTTTCTGATATATAAAGAAGCAACTGGCAATCACGCTTTGACGTCAACTGCTTTCGTAATAGGTTAGTTCCGTCCATACGTAATAGAATCGTAACATATTATAGCAATAGCGTGATGATAATTTTCAAATTGTTCTATGGCGCATTCAAAGAAATTAATATGTAAGCTTTCTATATCGTAACGAACTTCACGGTTATTGACGATATAACGGAAAATACAAAAGAGTTGATTTCTTTAGTCATTATTTGAGTTGCACGAGCAAATCAAGTAATTATTTATTTCGTTATGCTACTCATTAAAAATGTTTTCACTATTATAGGGCACGTAGATCCAAAGCCACTGTAGCTTTTAAATGGTTTTGTTTAAAGAAAAACCTTTTGAGGTTCTGTCACAACTAAAACACGAATTTATACATTTTTCTCGATATAATCACAAGTTTATCCTTAAAGTCCACTATTTGTCTATTTCTTGTTTTAATTAAACCTTTGTTATAGGGAATGGGAACATGAGACACTTTATAGCCGAGAGAATTCTGCAGCAATTTTACAATAATCATAACAGTTAACTAAGAATTAATTAAATTTTAAATAGCCGCTTTACTAAGTCCCTTTTATCTCATTGCCGGATGTTCAATATTTTTGCTCTAGGTTCCTATCTTAAGATAAATTAGAAAGTAGATTTATCGCTGTAGTATAACCAAACCACTGCAATTTATCTCTAAGTTACGTCGATCGACTACTGGAAGACATTGTTTATGGATGTCGTATAGTTAGTTACCTTATTAAATCCAAATGAGTATCTGTCTTCATGCCCCAGCGGTGATACTGAATTACGCCTTTCAGAGTCCCATGTTGAATGCCATACGTCTAAAGAGTCTGTTGAAGATTTTTTTGTGTCTATAGAACTTTTTCTGGAGAGAGAATTCATCGAGCCAACGTAATCGCGTTTCATTTCTCTGATTCCATTACTGGATATGGAGTCCCGTCTGTTGTAGTTGATAATATTTGTTTTACTAAGATTAGGAAAAGAGCCCATGGAATGTCTTTTGTTGTAATGTCTCTGAGTAGGGCTAGGTGTGTCTCGGCGTGGGGGCGTCTGTGACGGGCTATGCCGATCTTTGCGAAGGATGCTCGGGAACGTAGACGGGTGCTCCAACTCGCGTGCCGGCGATCCCGACATTCCCAAAGAATCACGACGCCTGTTTATTAGAACTTGTGTTAATTTTCATTAATAAACTATTATTATTAAAACTTCGATAAAAAAAAATACGGACCTGATAATAAGCCCATTTGTAGGTGACATTGACTCCCTATGATATCCTGGAGTTGATTCTCTGCTGTGAAGATAAAGAGATGAACGGTACGGTGTACCACATCGGCCATGCACGTCGCAATGGGGGTCGTGCTCAGTGACGGAACTGACGAGAGGTGAATGTCGTCCCTCTCCTTCCAGGGTCATATTTCCAAACATCGAGTCCAACTGACGCATAGCAATTATCTTCTTCACAGTAGACATCTTCACTGATCAACACTTTATAGTTCTTTTCTTTATCAATTTATATAAATAAACATTTAAAACTCTATCGATCGCTAAGGTACAGGCACGTGAATAATAATGGCATGTATGTCCTCTAAGTATGCCGCGACGCGACTGGACTGTTGTGCGGCATTGTGCGCAGAACGCTTACCGATGACTCACGGCGGCATGCGCGCGAGCAACAAGACTACGATTATCAACATGTCCTACAATTACACAATAGATATAAATATAGGTGACAAGGAGGTAAATAACAGTGCAATACATCTAAGAGCATCATCAATAATCAACAAGGACAGCACCGTATGTAGGCGTTTGACATCACTCAAGTATAAACGAAGGTCACTCGTCACTCACATAACATTGAAAAAAAAGTAGCCAAGTATGAGTAGGACTAACAAGCGTTCCGTAGTAGCAAGAAAAGGTAGCCAAAATATTTTCGTCAGCAAGAAATATACCTATTTAAATAAATAAATAAAATCCATTTATTTGGGACAAAAATAAAAACAAAACATTACAATCACATAGACAACTCAGCATATTTTTGCTGTTTAGGTTTAAAAATCAAAGGCATTATCTCTAAAACTGCATACTGTATCGAGTCTCAATCAATTGTCGTTGAAAGTGATCAATACAAATCTATAAAGGTTCCGGTTTTTTACCATAGGCTATGAGACCCTAAAACACAAACAAAACTTCATATTAATGTAAAACATAAGTGGTGTAAATATAATGCTTATATACAAACTCAAATTCTAGTTCAGACTACTCAAAATAACCCAATTAAAAATTTTCTAAACTGAGCAGCAATTTTACGCCTCTGTCAGTAAAAGTAATTAACTAGATTAATTCGTGTTACTAATCAAGTTATGGTGGCGATTACACGGTTCCTTGAGCTGCCGTGAACTTCCAATAAATTACACAAGCAGTGTAAGTATCAATTCAGAAAATATGGTAATGAAAATAAAGTAAGAGTGAATCTAGAGAAAAACTAGGACACAAATATACTATAAAAATTCATTCATATTGAACAAGATTATTTAAAAAATATAAAATATTTATTTGTAAAGCACTTCCATAGACACCCACGTATATTTGTTTGTTTCCGTACAAATTGGTCCGCGAATATAAAATAATAGATATTATTCCGATTTGAAATTAAAAATGTTACAATATTACCTAAGAGTTGTACTAATAAAATACTAACATACAGTGCCTACCGAGATTTTACTGACTCGTTCACAGTAAAGGTGGGTATATTCACACTACTCGTGGCTCCGTAATAAAAGGATTTCATGAAAATACGGAGAATCTCACCCTGTTTTTGAGGTAGGAATAATAAGCAACTTTTGCCCCTGTTATTTATTAGTTATGATTCTGATATATATTTAAAATTTGTTATATATTTAGTCAAAAAATCGATACTGTCTGGTGACTAACTCCCGAGATGGGATGAAAAGTATATTTCTAAAAGTAAGTATAAAGTAGTATTTCTCTATATTCAATTAGTGGTGCAATATATATTTTATTGCGTTGGGGTGTCTGCACTCACTGGCATTTTATAGAGAGCATAAAATGACTGTATTTTATGTTCATGTCGTTATGAGAAAGTTTCATCAACTCGAAATCCAAGCAATTCACGAAATTATTTTTGCTTAATCCAGATTGCATGCAAGTTTTTAACTTGTTTGTAAGACTCTCATTGTGTTAATAATATGTAATTAATTATTAAGTACTTCCCTGTCAATAGGTTAAAACATTAAATTATTTAAACTACTTTTGTGTACGTTTACGTTTATATCCATATTCAAATTGGCAAATTATTGTTTTTAACAATATAGCCTGTAATATTTATGAGCCACATATAAAAACATAAAATCTATTTTTTTTTTTGTTACATTTGCGATTATTTTTAAAATCATCGATACTATACAATTTACGGATACCATTTATAATGTTAATGACTAACTTTCAAGTAAAATCATCAGTTGTTTGAACTTTAAATTTGAGAATTAAATAAAAAAGAATTATTTGAAATAAATTATTTTTCACTATAAATAAATGTTCTAATTTTATTTTTGCATTAGCCATATTTCACACATAATTGACAGTGTCTTCATCCTGATGTTTCGTGATTAGTGAGTCAGTCAGTAAATGACTAGTGATTCGGTAAATTGTACGTCATGGCCTTATCTGTTGTATCTAGTTCAAGTAATTTATTTTTATCATTCACCATATTTCAGTTAATACATCTGCTATTCAGAATTTCAGATACCTATATCCATATCCGGCATATAGAGAGCAACGTTTGGTATCTCTCTACGTCCTGAATTCACAATCAGGAAATCCGTAGGAGAACTAAGATTGGTCAAAGAATTGCTCAGCTGAAGTGGCAGTGGGCGGGACACATAGCGAGAAAAACTGATGGCCGTTGGGGCAGAAGAGTTCTGGAATGGCGATCACGTACTGAAGGACGCTCAGTGTGTAGGCCCCCCACCAGGTGGACCGACGATCTTATAAAGATTGTGGGAAGCCGCTGGACGCGGGCTGCACAGGACCGATCGTGGAAATCTATGGAGGAGGCCTATGCTCAGCAGTGGGCGTCTTACGGCTGATGACGATGATGGTGATGTATATGCAATCATACATCACGCATTTTCGATAATATTAAAATTAGCTTGAGAATTCTTTCCCGTTATATCATTTAAGCGAATCATAACCTAGTATACGATAAACCTAAATGTTGAGCACAATTGTTGTAGAGCAATAAACGAGATCGTTTTCTTACACAGTAACAACGAATAAAGAAAAGTCTAGGTTATAAATGATGTCGTGTCTGTCATTTTAGAAGTAAAATTACTTTAAGAGTTACTTTATGTTCTGCGTCCGTAGTAGAAATTCACATTGGGCCCATCTTTAAATGATCCATTGAGCCAACTAGAATTATTTCAAGGGTAAATATAACTTAGCTCTGCTGAATTATTTAAATGGCTGTCAATAAAATATTAGAAACATAATTTGAAGATCGCAAATAAACACACAGTGACATAGAATTGACGTGACAATTATTGCCGTTGGCAACTCGTTATTGTAAGGAATCTCTTCTCTTTTGTTATCTAACCAGTATATTAAATGAATATGTAGTAAATATGAATATAAAATACGTCTATAAGCACAAGTTACTTGTTTAATTACTAGCCATCATCACCGCTATCACAATAAAATACAACTTACATATAATGCTTTAGATTTAGTTGTTAACTGCACGCTTTATGCATACGATGCTGTGGTGCTTGCAGAAAATCTATCAGAACTTCAAAATTTTGTGACGATAAAATAACAAAAATGTACAGCTCATGGTTGATGATGTCGAACAATAATGCTTCACTGCCTGCAAACTAGTAAAGCTGGCGTGTAAAGACGAATACCAATAGTGCATTCAATGCCAGAATATAGACAAATTATCTCTCGAGTACTTAAAAATGAGGCATGGTAACTCATCGCTTAAGCCATTCCAAGCCAAGACCCAATTGTTCAGGAAAGGAGAAGTCGTAGGCGACTTTCAAGTCTCTAATGAAGAGACCTCATTTAGAAAATAAGATGAGATCTCTAAAAATCTTTGTTGACGATATGCAAAAAGCAAAAAAAGCAGAGGTTTTATTATCCGTTATCGAATTACGGTTCGACTTGCTGTCGTTGCTGCCAGTCTGAATTAACTATACATATGGTGCTCGGTCCTCTCTGCCTACTCCCGAGAGATCCGGCGTCAATATATAGATGTACAGCTTTTATTAAAACAAATTGACTTGAGACAAATAACGCCCATACATTTACTTATTAAGAAAATAATTAAAAGAACACTTCTCCTTATCACTAAATAGTAAAACAAAATCGCTTTCTCTGTTTATATCGCTATGTATGCTTAAATCTTTAAAACTCCACAACGGATTTTGATGTGGCTTTTTTTCAATGAAAAGGTTGAATCAAAAGGAAGGTTTTTATGTACAATACAAGACCACGCGGGCAAAGCCACTGGCCGAAAGCTAGTTTGATAATAATTTATTGATTTAGGGAAGGTCTAAGTCCCAGTAGGGGGGGACATAAATAGATAAATTATCCTCTAAAATTTCACGTTAAAAATTTAATGATACCAATAATTAAACTATCAGTTACACAGATACTCCAATAAAAAACGCTGTAATTATAACGAATATTTGTATGTAGATGAAAAACTTAACATGGTAATAAAGAAAAACATTTTAAACTTCAAGAACGCTGTACAAGCTGCGCTGTAAATTTGTAACACGACAGATTTATTAAAACTTATCGCATTTCTTGTCGGCGTCGCCCTGCATAGCTTTATACGAGCAGTAAACTTTTTAATATCCTACAGTTAAACGGAAACATAGTAAATGCCATAAGGAAAATTTGTTTAATGGAAGGGTTTAAGTTTCTTATCTTGGTTGGTGGTACCTGAGATATGATATTTGTCGATAATAATATATTCAAGTTTAACAATATTATTAGGCGTTTACGACTGTTGACTCATTTTTATTTAGCGGTAAAACCATGATAATAGAGATTATAATTCGATAAATTATTTAGATCACCGACTATATATATCAATATATAACTATCAATTAATGGGTTAGTTTGTACTAACAGAAGTTGAAGATGATTGATAAGAATCATGTTGTAGTATATAGTATAATAGAATAGAATCGACACAAAAAATATTTTTATGGCATTTGTCTTTTCAACATAATATGACTAAAAAGTTACCTTATTATAAAGAACAATTATCATATTTTAATGTATCTAGTCTACAGGACCGATGACGATTATTGTATCAATTATTTCTATATAAAATTGTTAACGGAGCATCAGATTGCTCAAGCTCATTTACAACAAATTAATTCAATATAATGTCACTGCGAGAAGAAATAACGATTTAGATATTTTTTTCAAAATTTAACTTAATTAAATCTAGCATGATGTCTGCTATAACGGATAAGTAATTGTTGTCATAAAAATAGAATAAGTAAGTGAAATCTTATTAAATTTCTCTCACATATTTCCTCCTGTGTAACTGTACATGCCGTGGCAGCTTGAAAGTGAGGCAACACTTATTTGCATGCTATTTTATTGCTGTAATAATACTATTATCAGTGTATTGTCTTATAAGCCCTCCTTCCACACAAAGGTATCGTATTAAATATTTCGAATGAAAATAGGGAGGATGACGGATACATCACTCTATTATTTATAAGTGACTGGTTACCAGTTCGTTACCAATATACTCGTATATGTTGAACAT